TTCAAATCATACTTTTTCCGAAAAAGCATTTTTACAGGTGAAACTTCAAGTTCTAAAAGACAGGTTTCCAAAGGGTTTGCTATTTTGAAATTGTCATTTTCAAGGCATTCTCTTTTTTTATGAACACAATTTTCAGCTTCATCTCCACTCACTTGCACCCAAGCATTTGTTATTTGCTCAAATCTATTGTTTAATTCCTCTAATAAGGAATCATTTGAAGTAGAAGAGGCCCACCACCTGAGCAAAGGGTTTGATGAAATTATAGGGTCCAAGGATACTTCAGAAATGGGTATTAATTTGTTATCTTCCAAACACATTTTTGCATTCTTTGAATTTCTAGGTCCAGGGGTACCTTTTGAAGCTATTTTTATTCTTGACTGCCTATGTTTTTCCTGCTGACTTTTACCTTTCTGTAAATGGAGTTTATACGATTTACGGAGCAGAGCATTTCTATAAATAAGTGAGCTAGAAGATGCTAATGGATGTAAGAGATGGAGAGATGGTTTTCTATCCCTAACAGAATGTCTCAAAGGTATAGTAGCAACCATACTTTTTGATCCATTCTTAAATATGTCAGCTTCAGTGTGCCTTGTGTCCATCTTATTGCATTGGTGATCATACTTTTCTTCAGCCAGAGTTTTTTCCAATATATTTTCTTGTTCTAAAGGAGGCAAGCAGCTACTAATACTTACTTCTCTCTCCTGAGGTGAAACTCTATTAATAGTCACAGATATGCCAGAAATTTTCACTTTTGCAGGTCTACCAGGCTTCCTAATCACTGCAAAAGGCTTCTGATTTGGTCGGATAATGTTCTTGGAAGGTTGAGGTATCACAGACTCGTTCTTGATTGGCCTAACATATTCAAAGCCAGACCCCAAGATCTCACTTTCAGTAGTCAAACTTGAAATAGCACTTCTTTCACCTGAGTCAATTTTGTATTCTCTAATATTTCTGAGACTATTACATTCAGTTGGAAAATCAGCATTATTGCTGAAAGACATAACATTGCTTATGTTTACAGTTCCTTCAGAAACTTGTCTTTTAGTTCTTCTTGATCTTCCATAAATAACAGTTACAGTAATACTCTTTTTATAGGTACCTTCTTTCACTTCTGATATGAGGGATTCTGGACTTCTCTTTCCAGCACTAAAAGATTCATTTTGGCAAATGGTGATGTCTGTTTGATCAGTTTTAGGTTTGGGCGGTCTTCCAATTGGCCGCTTAACTTGTTTCACAACCTGGGGACCTATTTTTTTAGGTCTACCTGGTTTTCGTTTAAAAGATGCATCAATACCATCACTTGGATTTTCCTTAGGTTTGTCTTGTGCTTTATCACTGTTCATATCATCTATAAACATTGCAGGGGATTCTGTAGTTTTCTTTGCACAATTAAATTTGTTTAGTTCTCCCTGAAGAGTGTCACAACCATTAAGATTAGAACTAAAATTTTCAGAGTTGGCATTTGGGATATCTTCATTTGTTTCTGGCTGTTTTTCAATTACATGATAAGTTGTATATTTTTCAGAAGGAAGATCAGTATTTGACTTGGAAGTACCAACTGAAGTCAAAGTATATTTGACTCCTTCACTGCTTTTAACTTCAGATAAAAACATGAGTTTGATAGGACTAGAATAGCTGGAAAAAGAAGAGCTTTCAATGGCTTCGTATTTTGTTGGCACATTTTGAACACCAGAAATCAATCTATTCGTATCTAAAATAGAGGACTTTTCCAGATTATCAAGTCTTTTGCTATTCAAATCTATTGTAGGTAGATGATTGCTTTTGATATTACTGGCTGCTACCACAGATTTTGATAAACTCTGCTCTTTGCATGTCATTCTGCTTACAGTTAGAGTCATATTTCTACCTGCATTTTGATCTTTACCATCAATTTCTATCAATTTCTTGGATGTCTTACATCCTTCAGATAATGAGTGATTATTCCAAGACTTTTTGGCCATATTTATTGTATCTTCCAAACGTTCCACAACAACTTGTAAATTAGAATTCATTGCAATTTTGTTTAGATCTATATTGTGTGAGCTTTCAATTTGATTATTTTTCACTGGAACCTTTTTTTTCGCAGATTCAGAAACTTTTTTGGCCTTAGGGGATTTTTTGAAAACATAATTATTTGTTACATATATAGAATACCATCCTGGGGGCACAATATGTCGTTTAGTTCTGCTCAAAAGTCCAGAAACATCACTTTTCAAAGGAGTTTCGGTACTCTCCAGTTTTGGATTCTCCTTATGATTTTGCAAAAGTCTTTTTCCAGCTGCAGATTTTTCCTGTAATTTTCTTATGCTCATTTTCCCAGGGGAAGTTGTTTCAAAGCTTTCTGAAAATGTATCAAAAGCTAAGTTAGTTTCTAAGGTATGAAGAGGTAGTTGCAATGACTGCAATGCACAGTCTGGTGAAAATGTTTCTGCATGATTATTATCTCGCGAGCTTTTAGAATTCTGTAAAGACCCTTGGCAACGATAGAATTCTTCTCTGTCCATTGAAAATACATCATTGCGTGTCAACTTCCTTGAATTTTTTTCAGTGTATTTTTTTCTTACAAACTTTTCATCAAGACTAGCAAGTTCTCTTTTTATTTGCAAAGACTGCCTTCTAAATGTGGGTGAATCAGGAGAGCTGTGCATTGAAAGTAAAGTTTCTTGACGCTTTCGAAATCTTGTCTGAATAATTTTATTCTCTACCTTTTTATCATGTTGACTCAGCAATTCCATAAAACTGTAATCACTGGCCGTGGCATTATGCAAGAGAGAGGCTATTAAATCTCTTAATTTTAAATCATTATCTGTATTAAAATCACTGCTAGATAATTTTATAAGGTTTGCCATATCTGTAGTTTCTATTGATTTTAACTTTTCATTAATACGATCCATTAAATCTTGAAAAATTACAGTAGTTTCACCTTTTTCCTGACTTGTAGTACAATTATCACTGTCTTCCAGAAGCAAAGAGTCAGAGTTGCTGAATTTTTTAGTTTTATGTATTTTACCTTCATGATCACCCTTGTCACTGCTTATTTCTGCTGGTGTGAGAGATGGAGGCTGGTTAATGTTTATTTCAAGTCTATTATTTTCTAAGGCTGAGAGCTCTGAGACGACATCTTTTAATTTTTCAAATCCTTCTTTCTGTACAGGTGATAATGGTGGGGGTGATGGACTTCGAGATCTGCAAACATCCTTAAGACTGACTGAAACATCACATACTTCCCTTGATGAAAGAGGAGTGTGAAAGGTCGATTTTGTAGAGCGAATGTTTGGTAACAGTCCAGAACAGCACCTGTGAGAATTATAACTGTTGGCAATTCCTCTATTCACTACTGTCTTAATGTGTTCAAAAGTTACAGTTTGGCAAGATAAATAATGTAAATCTTTAATACAGACTGGCAGAGGCACAACACCAGGGCTTTCTCTTTCATTTTGTAAACACCCTCTTTCTGCCAGCCTATATTCACCACTACAGAATAGACCATGTAAATTATCTTCAATTAGGGGCTTTTGAGATTCTGAAGACACAGTATGTGATGTATTACAATAGCAAAGAGAAGCAGCATTTTGCTCTTGGACTAGAAATTTCAACATGGCCAAAACTTGTTGCTGGTGATGTATGCACAAAGATTCCAAAACTTTGCTTAATGCTGATTTTCCTTTTTCCATTTTAGTAGCTTCCTCTGATTTTGCATCAACAGTTGAACTAAAAATAAAAATCAAACAAAAAATGAATTACAGCAAAAATACCAGGATTATAAGGAGTTATAATTTTAACAGAGTTTGAACAAAAGAAATTTTGGTATTGTAGGACTCCTAACTCCTATAGAGCTGCAATAATGACATCTTGATTATTATTCAGCAAAAATATAATGAAGCACTGATGATAATTAATGTCCTATGGCAAGTATAATAGTCAAAGGAAAGCCCTAGTTTTATGATATAAAATCTGATTAAAGATATGCTTATATTTAGAGATTGTTAATGTTTAGTGCTTTGGATCTATTATGAATATTTAATGGAAAGTGCTTCAGAAGGAGTTACATTTTTGTAAAGTAGACATTTTATAAGTTATTTTGACAATTATCAATCTGATTTAGTGCAAATAAGAAAAATAAGATGTAGGAGAAAACTATTTAAAATATTTTTTCAAGGTAGTGAAAATAAAATTATTAATGAAAGAAACCTTTGATACTTACAAGGAAAATTAAAGAATATGGATTTCATATAAATAACAGAATATCTTTTCTAAGATTAAGCTGCAGGTATTTTAACCTAATAATAAAAAAATTTAAGCTATTTAAAAATAAAATCTATTTTTAATTGATTTTAAATACTAAAGTAATTACATGAAGACTAAAGGCATTACTTACCTAATTATCTAATTTCAAATGCTGGAAAATGTCCCACTGAAGAAACTAACATACATCTAATTTTAACTAAGACCCAGGATTACTTAGCAACCAAGGCAGAAGTCTACAAAAAAATTTTTAATCCAATACCAGCAGCAAGAAGAATAAAATGTATTAAAAGAATTCTGTTTCAGAAAAGTATCTATTTAAATTAAACATATCACCAAACTCTGTACATGAAAATAGCTTCCCATTCATGATTTCTTATATTTGCTATTACTGTTGGTAGTTTCTGGTTTGTAGAAATTTTTTTTAGGGTTAGAATTAAGATATACTGATTATGAATTGCTACAGAAGATTGTATTTTGTTTAAATAAAGGGTTATTAAATTCATCTATACTAAAATTAAAGGAATTTTCTTTTAAAATGAAAAATAAAATTTTATTTTGCTCACTAAAACTGGCTTGTATCACAGATAAGTACGCAATATTTTATCTACATTTTAAAAATATGTTATTTAAGAAGCAAAAACACCAAAGTAAAATTTGAACACTAGATCAAAATTTTTCTAGAAAAATCATAACTTTACTAGATTCAACCGGTATTTCACCAAAAGTAACATGTGATTTGACAAAAAGCAATTATCAAAGTGAGAAAAGATATGAAATTTATAATAAAATATTTTAAGTCCACAGACATGACCCCAATATCCTTTCCTGTCTGAAAATATTTATTTTTGTAAATTTTATCACGTTTGGGAGTAAATGATGGAACTGATTCCCAAGATTCACTATTAGATAATTCAAAAAATATGGAGAACAAAGACACGAGGAAATGTTAACTATCAAATATGAAGATATAAGTGACACTATGTTCTTTTCCAACAAATTAAAAATTGTAATTTTCATAAAGGCAAAAGAAAACCCAAAAAAGTTCTGATAGATGCATTTCAACAGTTTCTTTAAAGTTATGCTATGGCCTATTAAACATACCTGTTATTAAATAACTAAAGAGATTTTATGTTTCTTAGAAAAATATATTGAACCCTATTTTAAAGATTAATATACTTTCATAACAATTCCTAAATGCTTAAATGTTTTTTCTGTTAGTAAAGTCAAGTATAGAAGCAGAAATAATTACAACTAATGACTAGTGTTAACTATTCTGAAAACTACAAGGTTTTTATATCTCTCTTCTGAGATTTCAAGGAAGTCTAAACCTTAAAAAGGTTTCTTATTCAGTTTATGACTTTTATTTTTATTTTTTCAGGTTATAACTTCCAAAAATGGAAATTCCAAAATACCACAGTGGTAACTTCCATCTAATGGTATATGAAGAATAGCTTCATAAAGTTACTAACTGTATATTCAAGTTTTAGATTATATCTGATACACACAAATCAGATATTAGAGAACTAAATTCTCAAACTATAAAATTCTGTAATATGCTTATTTGGCTCCAAATTTTTTCTTTTCTATTTTTCTTGCATTTTAGAATCTCAGAGAACAACCTAATATGAGTAAATAATAGTTGAATATACATAAGTCTCCAATTTAGAATTTATTCTCAAGTGATTATGTAAAGTGATTATGTAAAATCGTATCTTTCACAGCTCCCTTGTTTTTAATGTTAAAATATTTTCTAACCTTTTCCTGTTTGATTTACAAACCAAAACATCCTGCCTATTTTTTGTATGTTACTATTGGTTTTGCCCATTACAAATTTTGTTGTTGAAATAGTTTTTGGAGAAAGTCAATTTCTCACATTAATAAAAATAAAACTCATTCCTATAGTGAATCAAAAAAGTCAGTGTAGTCAGGTTTTTTTCTTTTCTTTCTTTCTTTTCTTTTACTGAATGAGTAAATCAATCACACACCAACAGTGTTGTAAATTTAAGTGCAAAAGCATTGAAGTGCTTTACTACAAATTACAACCTAGAAACACGTTAACTGAACAATTAAAATTCATACAATCAGATTTAGATATATAACAACACAAAGCAGGAACAGAATTACAGTACATTTACAACACAAGACAGATACATGAATTCATTAGAAAATATTGTAATAAATAATTCATGAATTATAGTGCAATTGATTTATGCATAAATATAACTAATTGCCTAACAATCAGTTTATATTAACAAAATCTGTCAAAATCAAGGCAGCCACAGAGTTTTACTAAATTACTGCGACAATGGAAATACTGCAATTAAAAAACAAATACAAGTATTTGTACTGTAAACAACTAAAAAAATCAGTCTCACTAAAGTTAGTATACAATTTAATATAAAATTGTCATTAGCTACCAGAAATGGTTTAAACAACTTTACTGAGCAGTAGTTTTCTAAAAACAGAGGCACTGTTTTTTCTTTTCCTTCTTTTTTTTTTTTTTTAAATATAAAATACTTGAGGAACATTCAAATAAGTAGAAAGCATATAAGGGTTGCTTTCACCTTCATTAAAAGTCTGCTGAAACTGGATTTTTCATAAAACTGTCAATTAATAAGTAGTAACTGGTAACTAAATTTATAAAGTACTTTGAAAGTTTAACATAAAGAACATTTTAATAGAATCATTTGGGGAGAAGGGGAACCCATAAATTTCCCTGCCTTTCCTAGTTTGTATAATCAAAAGTTAACTCAATAATTAGAAACATTTTGTTTCTTTTAAAAGTTATGGGTTGATCATTACCTATAAACTATCAAAAAATATTTAATTTACTATTTCTGACCAAAAATAAATAATACAAATACTAAATGCTGCAAATTAACTATAATATTACCTATAAAACTACTGATCACTGTGAAGTCAATAGCAAAATGATCCCTGATTTTATGAATCCTGTAAAGTTTTTGGTCAGGTCATCTTTTAAATGATATAAAAGTGTTCTGTAGGTATCCCTTTTCTATAAACTTCTCAATCAATTTATTAATGTAAATATAGTGTGAGGAATAAAAAAGCTCAATATAAATATTATGTAATGCATTCAGGCCCCCAAATTTTTGCAAGTAAAATTCTGTATAAAGAGGTCAATAAAATTGTGTTGAAACATTTACCTTATCTTTTAACTGTGTTTTTCAATGGGGGTGGGGTGGGGGGAGAGGGGAAATATATTAAATAATCCAAGTTCTGGCCCTCACAAAATATGGCTTAATTCTTTAAAAAGAAAGATGACCCTGACATCTGCTGTTTTGCAATCCATTATGTATACTTACTTAGGGGAAAAAAAAAGAGCAAGAGGATTCATACCCTAGTATGCAGGTAACATTAAGCTGAAGAGGGTTCAGTGTAGCTCTAAGAGACCAAACAACTACGTGGTTGTGCAGCTTCCCACTCTTCAGTTTCTTTAAACATATGTAAGCAGTTTTTACATGTAATAGCTGAAAATCTCTTTAGTATTACATGTATATGCGATTATTAGATACACACAAACACAAGTGTAAAAACACAAGTATTTGACAAGGTGCACTTATTTTTTAAATTCAGCTTTAAGTATTCCTTTTGGACTTAGGAAAATTGGCTTAGAAAAATGATCAGAACCTGAATTTTAACAGAGAAAAGGGGCACTCGGAGAATTCTGAACATATGAAGCAAATCCCCATTCTTTATATGGAGGCACATGCTTTATAACATTTTACCACTAAAACTGCATACTCCATAAATCCAACATGGATACTCTGAACCACATTTTAAAACTGCTATATAAAAATTATTGGTCTCTCTTATGAGTCTGTAAAAGTTAAAATGCACTGCCCAGCTTCTAACTACCCAATTAGTAGAGTTTACATTACTGAAAGTTCAAAACAGCTTCAGTGTTAAATATCTGTAAATCTATTCAAGACCCTGAACAAACTGCAAATTTGGTTATTAGCAAAATGATAATGTATCGCCCACCAAAATGAAATCTGTAATTCATTTTGATAAACTGAAAATGTTTTGAAATGTCACAGCAGCAAATATAATAAAGTTACACTGAGGTTTTTCAATAGTAGGAGTGTGTCACAATCCTTAAAATTTAAAGTAGTCATAACATCAACTAACCAGCACATTTAAACCAAAATTATCATTCTCAAGCTTTTTCTGTGCACATTATAAACATGCTCTAAGTTGCATTCCAACTTTCTTTTCTAACCTTACACATTAGCTTATTTTTCAAATGAAAAACAAAATTAAATTATTTTAATAATTAAATTTAAATTACTTTTTGTTCTTAGTATTCCATCTTATATTAAAGGATTCTATAGCTGCTGGGGTTAACTATGTGTCAGTTTTTTTAAAAAGTATATACCTTATAAACCCCAACTTCCTGTAAATCAACTATTAAATGATAAATATTAAATTTCATTATACATATCATTTAAGGTTTTCTTTTCTATTCCTGGTGGATGCACTTGAGTGCATTTCATATTTCATAGAATACACTGTAGTGTACTAATACTGTATATATATTAATTTTTCTTAGTATGGAGATAGCTGTCTATTTAAACTTTGATTGGTTGTCTGATATACTTACAATAGCTGTAAGTATATTATGTAAAAATGTTTACAAACTATTAATATCATATTTCCATTATAAGATGGTTCAACTGAATGGCTGGAGTGGTCTTTCACCAATAAAAATGTTTCACTCGACAATTACTTGTTTTCCCACAACGCTTTATGCTATTGACTACTAAAGAAAACCTGAATCTTTTTCACCTATTTATACAAGGATTAAATACAAACTATCAGAATTAAGTAAGCAACTATATAATTCTGTCCACAGTGAAAACCCTGAATAAAACTTTTTTTTCAAAAGGCATGTAAGTGGTTTTTGAACTGTAAAATTTCATGTCTCCTGTCAGAGTGAGCATCTGTTAATTCCCACATGTGTGTATATAGACACACAAATACACACCTGTGCACATACACACACACACACGCAAACACACATACACACACACATACACACATACAAACATTTTCCTAACAAGTAATCTACACAGGCTTGCTGTTTTTGCAGCTGCCAGTCCCTGAATCTGTCATATTATATAACCCAGTGTCTGGTAATCGGAGTTTCTTCTTCGGAGGAGTCTTCAGTGTTCCAGATCTTTCTTTTACCTTGTATTCTAAAGTGCTGTGAGGTACCCCATAAATTCCTTGTGCTTTGGAAACACTCATCTTTCCGCTCATTACCATTGCAATAGCCTCTTCCATTATTTCATGATCATACTGGCGATAACGGCCACGTTTTTTCCTGGGCTGCTTATTATCTTTTCGATCCAATCCATCTTCAGTATTTTCAGAGGTTCCATCAACTGTTCCATTTTTAGAATTAAGACACAAAGGAGAGAGGTCCCCATGTAGAAAATAGGAGTCAACACTTGAGTGAGTTACAGGCCCAGAACATTCTATTTTGTTCTGTTTAGGGAGTATATTTTTCAGTTTTTGGAGAGCTGATCCTTCTAGGACTGGAGAGGTTTTGGAAACTTGATACATAACATCCAGAAGACCAGGACCATCAGGTTGTGGTTTGGAAACAGAACTTACTCGGAGTTGAGGAATTTTTAACTGTACAGTAGGATGTGAAGTTTCATACTGTAGGCTTTCATTTTTGTCTTTAAACTGAGTAACCATTTTCTGTAGAGTTAACTGATGGAGGTAACTGGAAGCTGTTGGGAATTTTAATTCTGAGGTTTCAAGTAGATTGAGTTTACTTTTTTCTGTGCGCTCTGCTTGAGCTCTTGCCCACAAGGCTACCTTTTGCAGCACTGCACAAGTTTCTTTACTGTCTTTATATGAGTAACTATCATTGAAATCTCGAGTTTTGTTTTTAAAAGATGCAGGCTTCCCTGCTGGTAAGGCTTCTAAGTGGAGAAGTAAAGTTTTTTGAGGTATGCCATAAAGTATGCCTGCTTTATTTATGTCCAGTGCTCCAGACTGAATGTCTTTCAAAGCTTTTGAGAGCAAACCATCTGCAAACTCAGCACTTCTTTCCACATAGTCCTCTCTGTTTCTGTGTAGTCTCCTGGATGGATGGAATGAAACGATGGTAAACTGATGCATGAGAGACTCTCACACAGCTATGGAAGGGGAGGGTCCACTCCTTTATTATACTCCTTGCTTAGGTAACATCACTGCTTATGACTCTTTTTAAGTCTGTGGGATGTAGTAGTTACTCCTTATCAAAGCAAACGCTACAGTCCTGGTAGGACAATGTGTCAATCATACGGCGGCCTCAACGGGCAGACCTTCCAAGAACATAAAATCCTAACTCAGTATTTGTAAAAATATTCTCATGATGTTGCTATTCCTCTGACAGATGCTTGCAGAGCAACACTAATAATTTTTATTTGTACAATTAGAGTTCCATTCTAAAAAATACCCAAATCCTAAAGGAGTTTTTGTTAGTAGAAACGTGACGTTACCGCTAAACAAGTAATAAAAGAGTCAACCCCTTTCAAGGAAATTTGTAGTAGCAAGAATATTTCCAAACACAAACATCCCATATTTCCACAAGACTAATGTTTCTCTAGACAAAAAACTTAAAAATCTGAAACAAGTAGATAAGTTATCTTTGGGGAAAATAATTTGATACTATAAATGTTATTTCTATTTCAAATATATCATTTTAATTTTCAAAGTTTCTCAAACAGAAGCTAACTGTACCTTATAACTCAAAAGCTTCTACAGTCTTATTTGAAACAAATTACAATCTACATCGAAGATTTACATGTGACAAAAAAAGCTTCCTATGCAGTTTAATGGGAAGATGCAAAAGTTACCAAATAAAAATCCAACAGAACAGCATTTCACTGCTAATTATTTATTTAATTAATAATGAGAACTTTCAAAGCATGTAAGGACTTTTTGTGGTGCTTACTAGATATACATTATTATATATATTATATAAAGTTTGCCACCACACCTAAAGCACAGTGGAAAAAAATATAAACATTATAAGCTAACTGTAAGAATCAGTAAGCATAGTACTTTTAAAATTTGTTGTTTAAAAAAATTAGTGAAATCGCTTATTTCCCTTAAAATTGCCTCCTGAATGCTGAATTTTAAATTTTCTTTACTCGTCCTGCTTTCTTAGTTTGTAGTCTATAATTAAGTTGGTAGTTCATTTTAGTAACATGAACTAAAGTTTGGTGATTGTTCTGATAACTTTTCTTTAACAGAAAGAATAAAAAAGAAAGAGAAAGGACGAATGAAAGGTATGAGAGACACACACTTATGAGTGACAAAAATTCTGGAGGAAAGCTAGATATGTCAATCTATTCAAAGTAGTATTAAGAGTTCTCTGTAGAGATAATTTTATATTAATATTAAATTATATTTCCTAGATATTGCTTACCCAGCCACTGAATTTTCAGAAGAAGGATCACATATGGATGACTCTTCAGATTTTATGCTGGTTTTCTTTGTAGAGAGATCTAACACTCCATCCCCTATAATTTTTGCAAGAGAAAAAACTTTATATTTGTGACAGATAGGTAATCCTTACATTTTCACATTTCATTTTTGCTGATCTACTAACTCATGACTTAAAAATTAACACTTGTATTTGACATGTGGCCATTACCAACTCATTTGGTGGTTTTAGCAACAGGACATGACTGGGAAGGCACTACATAGGAAAAAAGAACAGAGGAGCTGGCATTACTAAGTGATATGAAGAAACAAACAGGCTATGATATAAAATCTATTTAAAAGCAACACTTGGTCATCTTTCCCACTGTTCTGCAGTGAACAGCCATTTAACTGCTTATCCATGATTTTTTTTTTCTATTCAAGGCTGCCCAGATAATGCTTCGAGAAAGTAGGAATGATGTAAGTTGTACAAAACAGAGACCACAGAAAAAAATGATGATGAACAAGAGAACAACAACTAGCATTTACTAGGACTAGCAATATGTGGAACATATACTTTAAGCAGTAAACTGTGACTCTTATGTATAACCAATGTCTTTTTAAGAATTTGGCATAAAATTTTACTGTTTTAAATGGCTGAAACATATAACAGTTGAATCATTGCCTATATAATATAGTGTTTATATCTGTTATTGGATGAAGACATAACCTGTAAGCATATAACATTTTAGGAAAAACAGCCTGTTAGAAAACTGCCTAAGTATTTATTGAAGTGTAGTTACTTTTATTATTGTTATAATATTGAATTTACATAAATAAAATCAATGATTCAGACATGTTGTTAATCTGACAAACTTGAGGGTCAAAAAGAATAAAAATAAATAATGAATTGAAAACACAGCACCAAATAATACTGTGAATATTTCTTTGCTGATAGCTAAAAATCTGAAAAGTTATAAAGAATCATTATGCTTACAATATACACTAAAAAGTTCAAGCTGGTCAATAACAATTCAACTGGGTTTTATTGTTACCATATAAATATATCTAACACTTAAGGGCCCTGGCAAGATACAAATATAGAAAAATAAAATTGTCTCACTCATAACCTATTAGGTATAATTCAATAATAATATTATGGAGTGCCTACTATGTGCAAAGCACTATTTTAGGAATTTGGAAGCAGCAGTAACAGGTATAAAAAGTACTTATTGTCATGGTACCAACCATGACCAATCAAACATGTTACCTGGGGGAAAGCTTCTATAAGGAACACTTTGTATAAAGGCTGTGATACAGAATCATTTCTAAAATGTTTGTGGAATAGCAAAGAGGCCAGGGTAGCTGGAAAGGAGTAAGCCAGGCTGAGTGAAATGAGTTCAGAAATGTAAGAAGGCAGATCACATTAGGCCTTTTAGGCAACGGTAAGAAATTTGAATTTTATTTTGAGACAGGAAGGAGGTTTGGAGGATTCTGAGGATAAGACTGACTCAATTTTAATTTATGCTTTTAAAGGATCAATCTGCTGCGGTGAGAATGGATGGCAAGGGGCTGAGGATGGAGTAGGGAAACCCGTAGAGAAACGTTGGGAAAGTGCTACAGTACTTCTTAACTCTGGGCTTGCACACTTGGTTAGTTTCCTCTGTTAGAATACTCCTAATCCTCATCGCTTCTCAGCCTTTTGGCTAAAATCAAGCGTAGAATACTTCGAATCCTCTCTTTGTATCCCCACACTCCTCTTAATTCTCACTAAATCTTACTCATCATTCGATCATTCAGGACCCAACTTGGATTTGGTTGATTATCATTATTCTAGGTTCCTATACCTGCAACACTACATTATTTAGCACTTAGCATGCTATATTCTAGTTGCTTATATACTTACCATTGTTAGCCATGCAGACTATAAGCTATGTGAAGGCAAAGACCATGTCTATTTTATTCACCCACGTGTCCCCACTATCTAGAATAGTGCCTGGCACACAATAAGTGTTCAGTAAATATTTGGTGAATAGAATTTTGAAGAATTAAAAGGGGAGATAGGACAAGTAAACACAGCACATGGTACACAGTACCTTAAAAAATTGTTAAATGAAGCATCTCATCCCAGGCTATCTATTGAGCTCAGTTTTTTATGCTTTGTCTCCAACTCAACTCAGCCCTCATACTCTCTGTGTACCTAGCCACTTGCAGTTCCTCAAACATGCTATGTGGTGTCACGTCTCTCAAACTGCAGTGCACAGTTCCCTCTGCCTAGAGTGCTCTACCTTTTCAACTTGTCAAACTCCTAATTATCTTTAAAGATCCATATGCCCCCAAGTAGAAGCATATTTTTGTTTCCGTTGTGTCAACAGCATGCTGTAACACTTATGACACTGTCCTGGCATAATTGATTTATAGATCTTTTTCTCCCACAAGACTGAATTCCTCAGGCCAGGGATCTATTTATTTGTATTTCATAAAGTGTAGAGTGATGTAACCTACTGAAAGAAGAAAGAAAGAAATGTCTTTTCCTTTATTATCTCATTTCTCTTCTTCAACAATTAAATTTTGCTAATTCAAGACCTTATAAAATCTTCTTCAAGAAATCATTACTACCTAATTTATATTCTGATTTAACACTGAATTCACTAGTTTTGATTCTGCTCCTGTTTTATGTAGTTTGAAGCACATAAAACACACTCTCCGTAAGTCTGTTATTGCCAGTCAATGTTACAAAATGAACTAATGAAATTTCTCCATTTCTAAACTCTTCTAGTCTTTTGATATGGCCGATTTAGTTAATTATTCCACACACCAGAAATAAGAAAAGGAGATACTGGGAACTCTTTCTCTCTCTCCTTTACATTAACTATGCAAATTAGGCTGTAGCTCCCTACTTAGGGCAATAAAGGCATTCTTGTCCTTTTTGGACCAGTCTTAGACACATGGCCCTGGCTAGAGATAATTTTAAACAAGACCTAGGTCCTGTTCCATCTTTAAAAAGAGAGCCACCCAAATCAGGTGTATACTCCTGATTCTTCTTCTTTCAAAACTCTAAACAGTGACCAGAGTGAGAAATGCTGTAATTTTTTTCCCCACAGCTGTGTCTCCATACCTAGGGTACCTATGTTAAATGTTTTGCTCTAAAAGTATTTGCTAACTCAAGGAATCCATTATAGTCTGTTATCCAGTTAAAACAAAAAATATACCCCTTCAACATATTTCTGCCACGCAGTAAAATCAGTCAATGAAAATTTATGTAGTGAATACAAGATACATAAATATGTAAAGAATTTTTAGAAAGATTTTAGTTATCACAGAAATCTCACTTTTTGTTAGTAGTGCTTTGGCCTATACTGAAGTACTTTGCTGATTAAACGGCTCCTATAGCTCAAGAGTTAGAAAACCATAAAGAGTCATCTCTAGGGTTGTCCAAATTAGAAAAGCAAAAACAAGAAAAGGGAAGAGACAGCTTGGAAAGAATGAGAAAAGGAAAAGATCACAAACAGAGGGTGAATGGGATTTTTTTGCTCCTGCTGCTGATTTAGATCTAGCTGTAGTGTTTATAGCTAGAAGCATCACTCCTTCACAATGTAGTTAGCATACCATAACTAGACTGTCTTGTGTGTGTATTATTTCCAAAGTACTAATAATTAACTTGATGGATAAAAACTAACCACTTATTATGTATGCTCTATGGCAATATAAAATAAGTAGAAGACAGAGGGACTGAAATTTATTTACCATTCAAGTACTGGTAGGTATGTAGGTTGTTTCTGTTTCACACTATTACAAACTATACTAAAATGAAAATCCTTCTAAGTGCTTTCTTGTGTTCATGTATAAGAAATTTTCTAAGTTATACACCTAGAAGTATAAGTGCTGGACTTTACATTTTGGACTTTAGTAGATATCACCAACTTTCTTTCCCACATCCTTGGCAACACTTGATGTTGCTGATATTTTTAATTTTTGCTAATTTGGTAAGAAAAGCAAGTTGCAGGAGTAAATTAACAAGAGTGCATTTAGTATGCATTAATGTGCACTTTTAAAGCACACAAAAAGATTTTGCTTATCAATGTATAAGTAGGTATTATCAGAGGTTGTTTCCAAAAACAAAGAAAAAGATGTGATAGTTCCTTAAGAGAAAGTATTATCAGAAGCAAACATGATCAAATAACATATTTATTAGTCTGGGTGACAGGAACACGACTATTGTGCTGTATATTTCTATACATTTGAAAATTTCATAAAAATAAAAACAGATCGTTTCCATTTACTAGTTATAGACTGGGTCTTAACACTACAATTTACTTATTGTTAATCAAACACTAATATGACATGTACAGAATTAAAGAGGGACCAGTGTAATCTTACAACAAGGTCAGGTAAACTGTATATATTATATACTATTAGAGATAACTTTTAAAATGGACCAATGCTTGAAAATCTGAAACCATGACTAAACTGGGCAATTTCTTGATATCAATACTTTACTGGGTTAATTTTTTTAGAATTCACCTTCTGTTAAAATCAAGATTTGAATTTTCATTAACAAATATTCAGTTCTGTGTTTTCATGCAAATTCCTGATCAAGGATCAATTCAAAGCAGACAAATGCAACTGTTATAACAGAATTGTATTTCACCCCTCCAAGGACACCATTCTTTCTCTCATCTTATGTCCTTTGTCCATTCTTCAAAGTATGCTCTGTGTTCTCTTGGCCTGGCTAACTTCTACACATGCTTCAGAATCATCCCCTCAAACATTTTTCTAATTTTCCCTACAACACCTTTTGTATTCTTCTATATTGTATTTATGGCATATTATTATAATTTCCCTACTTTAGCCCCTAAAGTCCAATAGGGGAGTTAGTAACTATGTTTAGGATCTATTTAACATTTATATTTAATTAAGCATAATTACCTAGCTGATGTTCTTGCAATATCCACTCTCTAAGCCAGGGCCTGAAAGGAACAGTACCTCAATACTTATTCACTGACTCATCAATGACTTACTCAATTTTGTCACAATAATCAGCACTGCAAACAACAAACTCTGACTAACAAAACAGTCATGCAATCGATTAACTTTG